ATGAGTCAAAAGTTAAGACGTACTGACATTAAGACTTTAAATTCACTAGAAGAGCTAAGAAGTACGTCTCTGACACTCAAGACATAACACCCTAAGTTTTAAGTCTCTGCTGAGAAGCATTAGGAAGACCAGTCCTCAACAAAATTGTTGTCACATGCTTCTTAATCACAGGAAGAAAAATAAGTTCTTTTTGTCTTACTGTTGCTTACTGCAAAGCCTGAAAAACTGTAACTGAAAACTCCCTCAGAAAGTTTATCAGGCAAATAGCTCAAAAAATTCAGACTCAAGTCATTTAAATTTAGTCTAAGTGAAAGCCACCAGAAACTAGGCTTTTAGTACTGGCTATTAAATAAATTAATACCTCTTTTACCTACACAATTTATAATTCTCATATTATGATACTATTACTAAAGTAAAACTGCCTACCAAATCTAGCTCAGGGCTCCAGAAGTAGTGACTAGCAGGCTGAAGGAACCTGATGAAAGACCAAGAGTGGCAGTGCTCCTCGATTTCATCTCAAAAGATGTACCTGATAAACACAGGTAAATCTAAAAGCCTAAATTCAGGGCTGCCTCCCAGATATACCAGTACTGGAAAATCCCATGGACGAGAGCAGGAGCTCTTAGGACTCCCCACCCTTACTCTGAATCATCAGATGTCCTTTCTCTATCCCTCTTCCCTATACTCACCATTCCTAAATTTTAGCCAGCTTGGTCTCTTAAATATTGGTGGAGTCCCTCTCTAGCATTTCTTACAAGGAAAGTAGAACCAAGGACTCTGATTCAAATTGTTTTGTGGTTATGCTTCCTTCCACTATCTCAGGAAACCGTCTGTAAAGCAGGTAGAATACTTTCCAGTGTTACTAGATGTTGGAAAGCTTAGTTGATGATGTTTATACATCTTGCTAAAGTTTCTTGGATGAAAGGTATGAAAATCATTATCTGTACAACTGTCCACACATCACTTAGAGTAATAAACACCAAAATGCTACTGAGGTGAAAGAAGAATGGCTAAAAACAGTACTTCACAATTACTAGATAGAGTCCAAGCAGAAGAGCAAAATTTTTCCTTTTTTTCATTTTTGTCTGGTACAGATCGAATAAGTGTCGTTTCTTAAAGGTCACTCTCAAAATGTCCAAAAAAAATAATGGAATGAAGTGTTCAGGTGACATCACCTTGCGACTCAGCAACTCCTCCTTTCTCCTTGTTGCTGGTTATGAAGAATTTATAATTTGTTTCTGCTTTTCCTCAATTTTTCATTAAAAGAATATACAAAATAAGAAAGAAGGGTTATTTGCAATCACTCTCAGTCACTACCTCTCCTGGAAAAGAACTAACACAGGAGAGCCGGGAGGGAGCCAGGACCAAGCTGGAAATCCTTGAAACACAGGACTTTATTGCTTAAAGGGTGCCTGTATTTTCATCAGGAAAAGCCACAGATGAGTAAAACCTCACTTTGTGTGCATCCCCACAACTGCCATAATTTTGGCAGAACAAAGCCACACAAGGTTACACCACACAGACCCGCACGGGATGTGCAAAACCCCATCTGGTAGGCATGCTCCATTCACAGAAGTGACAGCAGCCACAGCTCTTTTTGCTCAACACCCAGAGAGAAGAAGTGGTGCCGCACTGTACAAAAAGGGACCTCAGGTGCTCACTGCACAGAGCACTTACTCAGGGCATGGGAGGTTCAAGTTTTGGGTTCTTTGCTGCCTGTGGACACACCAGTCCCGTAAGAGTGACCAAAACCCCATGGGGCATTCTCTGCTTCTCTCTGAAGCTGTTACACTTTGGAGAAGAGCAATCATTTGCAAAACTGGCCCAGAGAAAGAGAGGGGAAGGAAAAAGCTGAGGGAGAAAGGGGCAGGAAACAAACATTAGGTGCTGTAATTAGAGAATTCACCCTGGACAACAGTCATCTTGGTTCTGGCTTCTGTTCCCAAGATCTCTTACACATCAATCTGACTGACAAGAGTTTTAATTTAAATCTTATCCATGGAGTTGCTTAAGACAATTAAGCAGCAGGCATCCCTTGTTCTGCTCTTCACAGTAAGTTTGGGCGGCCTACACCACTGTCGGAAACTAAGCATCATTAAGCTGATTCAGTTATTAGTACACTGCTAATTATTGTTTGGCAGTATTGCACTTATTTTTTTGCTAACTTTACTTTTGCACTGAAGAAAATAAGAAAAAAGACTTCATAACCACTGCCTTAAAAGTATTCCACATCAAAAAGAAGCCTACTAAGCATTTTGATCCAATATCTGACTGTTCTCTGCATAGACAGAGTTTATACGTGCAGGTATTATGGAAATTACCACACAACAGCAACTGAAAGAAGTGACTGGATGAAGCAGTCTCAATATATCTTCAGCAAATTAAAAAAATTACTATTTATGGGGTTGTTCAAGCACTTGGAAACATGTCAGTAAACAGCTCTGATACCCTCTGACACTACTAATTTACATCACAGAGGCCAAAAACCTTGTTGCAGTCCCATACCTGGCAAGCAAAAGTGCTATTTATCACCGGATGCCCCAGATGTTTCCATAAATATGCTATTTCCCATTGCCTCTCATTAGCAGCAGTTCTATGAATTGAAACAGATTTTATTTTTTTTTTTTTTTGAGAATAAATGCCACAGGATGTTCTTAAAAATTTAAGCTGTTGCTTTAGGAAACAAAACCAGCACCCCCACCATTGTCCATGCAGACTGCCTAACCTGATTCTACACAGGAACACATCTGTTTGACCATAAAGAGTCCTGATAACAGGCACGGAAAGCTTGCCAATCACCTTAAGACCCAGATGTTTACATATTCTGGTAACTCAATTTCAATACTGCGCATACTCCACTCAACCCAAGTAGAACAGATTTTTTGCTGTTTTCATTCTGTGAAGAACAATGGTGAAAGGAAAAAACCGAAACCTTAATAAACATAGCATTTTCAGACTACAAGCAAGGTTTATAAAGACAGCAGTTGCTTTATGAAAGAAGAGGCACAGATTGAGAATTTGGAGAGGCAAATGTATGTCCATTAGCTTCAGATCTTACAAATAAGTAATTGTCTTAAAATCCACCCAGCTTTCCTTTGTTCAAAAAGATATTTTCTACAGGATTATTTATTTTATATACGCATAGACAAGAAGTATAGATCTTTCCTTTCAGGTATGTTACATACTCTACTTGAATAATGAAAAAGGAGAAACTACTTCAATTATGAATCCTTAACTAACTATAGAAATGGTAGTTTGGTCCAACTGTGAAAATACCATCTTTCATTCATTAGAAAAAACAGTCTTTAAAAGCAACTTACAACTATGCTAAACACTGACCTACTAACCAGCCTTCAGAATTGCAAAATCTTTATAAATTATCTCAATTAATATTCCAAATTAGTTCTACACAATCATATTGTAGCTTATATGGGGGGCGAGGGGAGGTGGAAGATGACCATGCACTGACCTCGCCTCTATAAACACAACTTCAAAAAAAAAAAAAAAATCAAAACCAAACCTACTCTGCATTAACTATATTTCTGCTTCCAGTGAAAAGATTACAACACAGAATGTGCAGACTTCCATATAATTTTGAATCCACTGAATATGAAATGTTTATTAGTTCAACTGCAAGACAACACTTATCACCTCTGCCTCAATCAAGATTCTAGATGCACTACGGAAGTTGAGAGATTCAGGTTAAGCTCATGTAATTTAATTTTGAAGATCTACATAAATCTTTGATGTATTCTTCCGTAAGACACATAGAAGCCATTACAAAGTATCTGAGCTCTAGTCTTCAAAATAAGAAGTCTGAATTTCAAATGGATAAAGAAGTGGGATGAGTATCTGTTACATAAGTAGCAACTCAACATATGAATGTGCTACATACAATTGAAATGGATACAGTAGATACAATTAAGTAACTTGGCAGGAGAACAGAAAGAAAAAAAAGAAAAAAGAAGAGTTTGCTCAAAATAATCAAACAGTAAGTCCTCCTACAAAGTGAAGAGAATCCAGTGGCACTTACAATGAACAAATGTGAAGGGTTTTTTGAACAAACATTTGGTAAACAATATAAGCACAAATCATTTCACACTAGGTAACCCTTATGCAAATACTTAAAATAGACACTCAAATATAAGACAGCATAATTAAATCCCAGCATTTTGCCTTTACCTCACAAGTCATTTAAACAATAAATCTTGCAATAGTCACAGTACACCAGAAAATCATACAAAATCAAATGTTAAAGACAGATTAATTTGACATTAGACTTAATAATGCAGGATCAGGATTTAAGTTGGCTAGTTAATATACAGTGTGAATAAAGAATTAGATGCAGGTTGTTAGCATTCTCTCTGCAGTATCATATTTAAAAGTTGTGAATTCTATATGAAAGTTATAATTACCTACACAAGCAGCTACACGTTAAACAGGTTAGAAGTACAGTAGTACCTATAAAAATCCCTTGCAGTACCATCAGATAAAGTACTGAAGAGTCCTTTCAAAACCCTCATACTGGCACAGCTCTTCATAAACTGCAATGTTATAGCCAGACACTGTGATAAATTTTTGCCAGCTGAATAAAATTCTTAATGTTTACTGCCAGTGAGATTTAATAGCATTACAGAGTTTTAATAACACAGTAAAACAGAATAATACACTGTTGCACATCAGTGTAACCGTGGGTAGGAAAACAAAGACAAATGTGGAAAAGGAAAAAAGGCAGGAAGGGACAGAAGCAGCAACAGAAGGATAGAGTCTCAAAGAAACAAAAAGGTGGACTTCCAGAACTTTCCTTCTATCATTTTGCTAATGTCTGCTGGTCCCATTTCTACACCAGACATAAATGCCTTTAAAAAAAAAAAAATATTACAATTTCACTATTCACAGTGCAATGAAACTAAACACAACTAAGTCTCTGGGTGCTAGTTATGCTCAGGAAAAAAAAGAAAGCAACTTTAAGATTCTTATAAGATGATGTGAATATTTACCCATGCCAGTTCCAGCTGGTGCAATCTCTCTGGAGAAGATCTCCACAGCTTCTTTTTGCTTATGGTGTACAGCAAGCCAAATAACAGCTTCCCGAGGACCCTGCTTCAAAAAAGTAGAAATTAGATTAGCTTAGATGCAGAACATCATCTAAATTTACCAAACAAACATAAATGTAGCTCAGCATTCAAGTTAAATCTAATGGAAGTGTTTAGCACTCAGTGCTACAAACTACAATTTTCATTCAGTGACTTTTTATCCATCATCACTATCATTTTCTGTTAATGTTTCATTATATTCTTTATTTTGCTATCACAAAATCAACTACTGAGTATTTCAGACTGCTAGGACACTGTGCTTCTCGTCCAGCATTCTCAAAAGACCAAGTACTACAACTACTACTACTTTATAAGAAACTAAATACTTGGCTTCACTCTCAGTGAAACTGGCAAACAAACTTTGTTCTTATTTTAGGTGCACTGAGAATACTTCGGGGCCAAGTTAGAGAGCCAGGTTTACTTCTCTTATCATCAAGAAGTAAGCAGATCTTCTCATAGAAAATAATTCAGACCTAATCCTTAGGAATTAAATAGGAGAATGGAACTTGTAAAAGCCACCACGTTTCCAGAGAAAAGAGACGACACTCCTCTAAAGGCAAACCCAAGCAGTACTTTGCTCCCTACACTATAGCCAACTAACACACCCACCCTTGCAGATATGCACACTCTCTCACTTATTTTACCTCTCTAAGAATCTTTTCTGCCCCTGAAAGATCTACCACTGGAATCAATACACTGACAAAAGCCTTACAGTGAACATTAGGTCTCGCTGAGGGCAAAGACTGTAATTATTCAGGAATCTGTATCCATCAGTAAGAACCACCTTTGGTCTACCTTTGAATCTCTAAAAATGTGAATTCTGCTCAAAATACAAGTCTGTCCCTAAGTGTCTCTTACCTGTCCCAAAGCACAAGCACAACCATTTCCATCCTACATACGAAATGGAACTGCACAAGGTCTTAAAATCTACTGGTCAGGAGTTTCTCACACAGCACTACTTCAAGTATGAAGTTCTGCAGCAAGGTATTTCTTTGCTCTGGTAGTCAGGTCTATGGAACTCAGCTGTTTTTGTTAATGAGCATTAACATACACGACTAAATAACCCATTTTTAGTTTATTCCAACCTTTTTCTTTACATATAATGATTTCTGAAGCATTTAATAGCTTCCCAATTGTGCATAAAATCATGAAGAATATTATTTTAAAATAACATTTTTCCTCCTAGGTAACAATTTTTAGCAGAGTTTATCAAAAAGCTAATTTCTTTACAAATACAGAAATCAGTGGCATCAGAGACTAAGTACTCATAAGACAGGAAGGATACAGATGCTGCTAGAATTCAACAGCCCCAACTTCAAAATACAGGGGTTGAGGTGCGGAACAGAGGGGACATGTTTCTGTGCTCAGATGAAAAAAAATGGAGCCATGACTCCTTAAAGGAGTCCCCCCTCCTCTGGGCTAAGGAACAGCATCATCCTACACAGCACCAGGTTTTTTATTACTTAACACTGAAGAGGCAGAGCTTTTTTCATGCTAACAGCATCTTTCCTCTAATACACAGAACAGGAGAGAAAAGATAAACACCTTGAAATTATTATATGCAGGCAGTTGTTAGATGAACTGAATTAAATTTGTAATCAAACAAAACCGCGTCTCATCCTTCTTGCTGTGTGTTTTGATGTTTATTCACTACCCGAGGTTGAATGGGTGTGTCTGATTTCAAGAGCTAGATATCATTTCAAAAACAATTCTAAAATTACTTGAAGCAATGGCCAATTTACACAGCTGACAGTAAAAAAATGCTAGACTATTACACCTAACAAAACAAAATTACTCATGAGAATTCTAGTAAATTTAACAGTATCGTAATAAAACTACCTGACTTCACGCATCCCCACCCCCCAAATTTTAAGACTTGACTAAACATTTTAAACTACAAAAGAAAAAATTTTTTTTTCCTCTTCAAAATAACCTGAGAAACTATATGCTGGATCTCAACTCCTGAACTGCCCATCTTTTCACACGTACCTCCTAACTCTAGTGCTACTTATTGCTCACATTTCTGTAAAGCTGAATTCTTTCAAAACATTACATAAATCAGCAAATCAAATACTAGCTTTATGAAATACTGTTATCTTCTATATTAGTATAATTTTCCTGTATGTATAGGGTACGTTCTCCCAAAAGCACTACTGTTGGTCATGTCAACATCTGAAAATCTCAAGTCAGTTTCAGGAATTTAAGTAACTTCAGCAATGTAGGAACATGGATGTACTTCCTAGTGGCAGCTGCTGAAATGGTGTTTATCATAAATGTTGTAATATGCTGCACAAAGCATTCTGGCTACTGTAAGAGTATCCCAAAGAGACCGTTATGTTAACAGACTACTAAATCCTCTATTCCAACTCAAATACATAACAGAACCCCAACAAAAACAAGCTCACTTATACCAAGCTTATACCACGGGAGGAAAACTTCCTGACTTCATAAGCTGGTGATCAGCTGAAACCCAGTAACGAAGGGCCTTTTTGTTTTAGTATGTTTAAACCCCAGTCCTAAATATTCATGAAGTTGAAAGATGATTTTTCTCTACTTCCTATTCTAATGGTATATCCACACAGAGGTACCGTAATGATAAATACAATTGCTTTCATCTTTCTTAAGTACTCCTATGTAGACATACTCACAGGGAGACACACACAGTTCATTTCAGCCTCCAAGCTCCCAGCTTGGAGAACACTTGCTGCAATATTACCATGCAGGAAATCCTGCAAACTTGATTTACATTTTTATTATTTTATCTCAATATTCATGTATAAAAGTTTAGCAGAGCCACGGTAGGAGAGGTTATACTATTCCAGGAGATTGTGTATCCCTGAAAGAATAGAAACTTCTTTCTATGAGTACAGAAACAGATGTCCTGATCAAGATAATATAAATAAGAAACCAGTCAGTTTTCCAATTTAAAGTTTCACTACATTGCTGTAAAAAATTGTTGCTACACAGAAAATAAGCAGCCACGCCACAAACTCAACAAACGCATTTTTTTTTTTTTAACATTCAGTGCTCTCAAAGCGACCACGTGATTAATTAAATTACTACAAATGATAATTAATAGGAAACACTCTTGCAGGAAACATACGTATGCATTCACATCTGCCTCCTGGTTCCAAACTGTACCATGTCTTCAACATTCCATTTAAGTTCTAGGTTTACTTCCTTGCCCACACATGCAAGATACAATGCACTATAAAAATAACAAGCTGAATCCTGTTCCGAGTGGGTGAATCCACCATTAAACCTGGATATATAGAGTATTCTAAAGTCATTTATCTTACAGTATCGTAATTAAAGCAAAAAATAGCAAAACAAAGTTATATTTTATCAAGTTTTAACAATGTGTTGTAAATTGGTTAACAAAGGGTTAGTAGAAAACTAACAGACACAGCACACACAGTTTTTATATAGTGAAATAATACCTGAGGTATTAACAGATACCTGTCACGTGACACATACCCAGTATTTCTAAACCATGAACTCACTGACAGTGTGCCACTGCCTAACTCCTTCTTCCACCTCAACAGAAATCCACACAGCACGAGATATTAAAAATTAAACATCACTAGGGTTACTCAGTGCTGATTCAGGCCCCTTTCTTGGTCGTGCTGGGCTGCTGCTGACAAAGCAAGCTATCAGTGTGGCAACCAACCACCATATAACAGCTGGGAAAGACTGAGAAAGGACAGGAGGAAAGCATTTCTTGATTTCTCAGGGATACTTTGTGCTGTCAGGATCAGTTAATACTCCATGCAGCAGCTCAGACTACAGTATACAAGGCCTAAAGAAGCCTGGGATATACAGTGATTTCACAGATGCAAAGGCAAACCTTTGCACTCAGTTTGACAGACCTGTGTGAGAATTAGTCCAGACACACAAGACATCTACACTGAGCTCCAAATATTGTTCAGTTTTTCCTGCCTTGGTATTCTTATACATATTTGCTTCTCTTTAAATGTAGATGGTAGAATCTTCAAAGCAGAAACTGTTTTCCTTGTGTGTTAATATACTGCCTAAGATAACAAGGCTCTGGTTTTGAGCACTGTTATTTGCAACCCAAATAACCATGTCTAATTTTGTATGGAAAGACATGGTAGGAAAGAGCATTTAAGAGACTGCATTCTTCCTACCTGAAGCCCCAATAGGCAGATGTTTTCCTCAGGATTCCATGACTTTATATTTTAAATGGAAAAGCAAACCCCACTCCCCACCCCTTGTTCTCAAGCTATCATGGCTCCTTTCCAGATTAAAACTCCTCCAGTTAGCTTCTTCTGAACTGTAGGAGCAACTGGGTGAAGGGGGAAGGCCATAGAGCGATTTCCTGTATTTCAGCCTTAGCTCTCACATCCGTTTTCAGGCATGTATGGAAAGCACATACAAGGGAGATAACACTCTATTTACTTTTAATATAAGATCTGGAAGTTGAGGCTGGAAATACAGAAAATACTACAAAGACTCAATGTAATTTGGAAAATTATTTAACGTACCGTAAGCAAGGCAAGCTGAACAATAAGGAAGGAGAAACTTCTCTTTTTCAAATCACTATTCACTCTATACTAGAAGACAGAAAACTTTCTATGTAACAATTTAAAGAACGTATTACAACGCATAATCGTAAGGAGCTGGTATGAACAAAACACAGACAAGTTCAACATCTGGAACATTTGTTCGTATGTTTCAGAATTTTGATTCTGCAATCTTGGTAACACACTGGACATTGCAGGATTTATGGTCCTAGAAGGGAAAAGACCACATTATAAAGCTCATTTCTCAGGAACCAATTCTTGCTGCTGTGCAGAATCAAATTGAAGCTCAAGCACCAAAATGAACCACTGCAGATATAACTCGCCCGATTTTCAAGAACACTTAATGCCTATAATAAGAAGTTCGCTGTCTTTCTCCACATTACGTTCTTGTTTCCTACACACATACATTGTTGGCTATTTGAAGTGTTGTCACTCCTAAGATCAAACTCAGAGCTGAGTTTTGCCACGTGTACCTTAAGAGTTTTGCAAGACTGCCACTGACAAAGAAGAATTAAATGCTACTGTTTTGGAACAAACTCAACTGTCTAAATATTTAAAGTGCATGTAAGTGAGGACAAGATTTACAGTCTTTCCTTTAAAAAGGACTTTTATATTCTAGATCATGAAAACAGACCATGGATATCACAGCTGCAATGGCTATGGCCATCATTCACATTCTTACATATGAATTTAAGTCACAAAAAGCAAAGCAGAACTGTATCGTTGAAAACTGTTTCACAAATAGTACTCACAGACAGTTTTAAAGTTGCACAGGCAACAATAATTCTTCCCTTTCCTGACTGCAATCTTTATAATGTGGTCTTTTACAGTTACAACTAATGCAATTTAAGTCTACGTCACAAGAACTTTTATAAGAAGGTATTTCTTTATACGAACAACATTAGAACAGACTACAACAACATTTTTGTAAGGTTTCGTATCAGTGCTTCTGGAAAACCCAATGCTACAAAGACCTTGTCAGTGTTAATTTTGTACACTAAGTAGTGACACTGAATTCTTTGCAAGATGATGGGGTGAAATTCCCAAGATGATAGTGACTTCCTTAAAGTTGCAGAAAAGATAACAATATAGAGAGATTACAAGAGGTCAGTAAAAGTTTAAGAACACTCCACTGAATACTTACACCATCTATACTCCTTCTAGCATGAGGTCCATATGTATCTTCAGACCCTAAAACCTGTATGTTAACTGCACTGTAATCTTCATAACCAAGCTGACTGAAAATAAGACGAGTCCTGCAACAAATGATTTTTATTAGTAAACTGCCTCAATATTATTATCTGAAGTACCCCTGTGTGGTCCACAGGAGTTAGCTGTCATGTAAACTGGACTATGAATACTTTACACTAAACAAATACATCTGAATACTGCAAATGAAGCAATTACTGACAAGGAATTTATGCCCCTGAATTTATCCCTAGGTTTCAAACTGAGCCTTTTGTTTATTCAAATTATTTGGAAGATGACAGGCAAAGACAAATAAACAGATTTAAACTCTTAATTTTATCTTTAAAACAAAGACAGCTTGAAATGTAATGACAGTATATGCAATCTTCCTGGTTTTCATACTGGTAATTAAGGTCTTAATTCTGTTTCTACTATAAGGCATTATGAACTACCAATAAATACATGAAACTACCTCACTATATCACATGCACCAATGAAGAAAAAAAAAAAAAATCAAACTGAAGAAGGAACTTTTATTCAAACCTTAGAGGTATTTATTTGGGATTAAGGAACATATGACTAAAATACCAAAAAGTATATAAAGTTTTTAAAGGGAATATTTCTTCATTACTTGTGCCTTTCCAGTCTGGCACTGAAATCCCTCAAGATCCTATAATTACATTTCCACCAAAAGCACATTATGTCAAGAGTGCCAAGTTTATCCAATCACAATTAATAATGGGGATGAACATTACCTTCTTTTTATATACCATGAAAACATATACAGCTTTAAGAGCCAGGAATTAATACTGTTTCTTGACAAATATTAAGTATGGATTAAATAAGACTGCTTTTGACAACTCTTAGAATAAACAACCCAACTCTCAAGAACTAGAACTGAAAATGATCACTATAGTTTTAAAAAAATAACATGAAGTCCAAAACAAACAAACAAAAAAAACAAACAAACAAAAAACAACAAACAAAACCACACAAGCAAAGTAAAAAAAAGTTTTAAAATAATCCAACTGTTAAAAATAGTCCAAATTATTAACATGTTGCAGATTGGAAAAATAACTTAAATTCTGAAGCACCTAAACCAGTTTCCCAATAATCTTGGAATACAATCTTGGAATATGTTCCAGTAACATTGGAATTATGCTAGGATGAGAAAAGTATTCTGCATCAGTGGAAAATTTTGAAGACACTGTTAATACACCATTGTTGTAAATATTCGCATGGTACATGGAAAATAAAGTAGTGTACAGGAATTTAAATACAAAATGCAATTTTCTAATTGTTGTAAAGAGATGAATGTGGTCCACAAATGAGGCCACCTTTATTTTGATGACCACAGAACGACAGATATTTGATTTAAGCTACCTGAATTTGCAAACCATATCTGTAATAAGTTATTTTGAATTATTTATCTACAAACATTACAGTTAGAGATACTAGAGTTCAAAATACATTTGGTGGCTAATTTTCAGCCCTTTCATGGGTCTTCTTGGTAATGCAACAAAGAACCATCAAAAATGAAAGGACACTGAAGACTACTCCAAAGAGACTTCACACACATACTGCCAAATCTCTCTTGCTTTCAAAAATGAATAAACAAATAAAGGAAAAGCATGCAAGAAAGAAGTGAAAGAAGTCATATTACAATCTGCCAAAGCTGAATAATGTCTTAGGCTGTCAATTAATTTGACCTGTATAATTGAAGCACCTTAAATTTGTACACCTTATTCTGTACTTGTTGCCATTAGACTACTGATTAGAATTTAGCCTAGAATGGACTGGAAGCTGGCTAGCTGGAAGATCATGTCCTCCTGACATTCCCTTGAAATAGAAATTGGTGGAAAGGCTGAAGTCAGAGCTTCCTCAAGAGATACAGTTGCTGGTAGAGCATTCTCTGACAGCTGTCGAAACAGTTTCATTCTTGTTCTGTATTTGGGTTGACATACACCAATATTCTGAACATGCTGAATAAACAATTCAACACATTAAACTGTTCAAGATGGAGAATATATTGATGGGCAATACTGTATATTGTGATTTTTGATGCAGAGAACAAGCCACAGCTGCTCCAGGAATGCCTCATGGGCTAGAGACCACTTATTAAGCCATTTAACCAGCCTTTGGCTACCTCCCATCAGCCCTCCTCTGAGGATTACTCAGGACAGCACAGTAAGAAGGCTGAATTAGTTTTCTAGTGGTCAGAGAGGCAGCAGCACCACAAGCTGTTTCTATCAGACAAAAGATTCACATAGTTCAATACGAAATAATGTCCAAGAGCAAACATGAAAAATATACCATTCTGGGTTTTTTTTTCCAAAAAAATCCTCTAGGTTCCAGACAGATTGCTTTTTGGAGACTTCTGAGTCCCCAAGTCTTTGTATTTAACAGGCCTTGAAGGGCTTTTTTCTTTGTTGATTTTCCCAGTAGCTCTTGAACACATACACTTTTAGCATTTGCAGCACTCTGAAGAAAGGGATTCCATATCTTAATTATACATCCCCTATCAGCTCGCTCTCATATCTGCAGTGCCTCCTGAAGGAGGTCACACAGCTCTTCCTTCATCACAGCGCAGCACGTGGACACATGAGCAGTAAGTCACTCTAAGTCCACAATAAACCTTGCATTTCTGACAGGTGTCTATCCTAGTGTACCTGCTGCATAGGTTTATAATGGGAAGTTATACATAAAGCACAGCACAAAGAGATATATCTCATAACTAGAAAGATTGAGGCTATTGGAGCAAATGCTCCAAAACTTTCATGAGGATATGGAATTATATTTAAGAGGAATCCCTCCTCACCCAAATATACTGGCATGACAATTTGACTAAAGGCTTATCACTCTGTCTTACGATGGTAAAATGATTCTAGCAAACAAAATCCTTAGTCACATTTTACAAGGTACTAAGATAATTTTGTTTAAAACACAAACTTGGTAAACTGCCTACATTTCATACCACTAAGATTTTTGATAAAAATCAGTTATGTGAAAATCAGTGAAAACTAGTTTCACATGGGTTTCTCTCTGGCACCTAATAAATTTTTATCTAAATCACAATTTTTCCCTCATTAATTTGGGTTTCTCTCCACTATCTAGACATTTATTTTCAACAATATTTAAGACCTTTCCCACTCTGTCAAATGTAGCTGAAGTGTAGTTATATGTTCAAGGCAGGCTTCTTAAACAGGCTAGTTAAATCTTGAAATGTCCTGCCAATTGGAAGATTATAATCTTCTGGGGTTCTTACAAGGTTAATATGGTTGCCATCATATGTCACAGTTCTATTTTCATCATCTCTGAAAAGAAAGAAGCCAAAACCCCTTCCAAGACTCACATACTAACCTCTGCAGAATACTTTCTGCAGTGCGCTTTCCTTTTTGTACTGCCTTTGGACCTCCCACTGGACAGACAGCAGTAGCTCGAAAGCCATCAAGGTAAGTGGCATTTACCTAAAGATAAAGGGATTATGAATTACATGGGATTCAATACTGATATGCTATAAATGCTCTCTGACAATAATTATCCATACATAAAGCAGAACAGCAAGAAAACATCATCATCATCACAAAAATTTACTACATTATTTAAAATTCAAAATGCTGTTAGAGGAAGATTCATGTCTGCAAAACTGTGAAACTCTGAATCCCTTCTCATTGTCATCCTTAAATTCTCCTGTACTTAACTATTTTGGTACATAGGACACATTCAGATGTTGAAAAGCTGAATAATCTATCACAATGAAACAGATCAGACATAAGCTTTCCAGAAGTATTAAAGTAAATGTGGCAAAGTATCACAAACATACACACAAAAGAACAGGCTACACATTGCAAACATTTAACTAGTAGGCATTTTACTAGATTTCCACTGCTACAGCTGCTTAACAGAGCTCTAATACAGTGAAAGTAATGATCATAATGCACGGCCATAAATGGTAGAAAAACTTTAATAGATATATCTAAACTAAGCATGATGAGCATTTTCAACATTTGTTACTTAACCGAAAAACAAAAACTGAACAACCTGGTAAGACATCCAGCATAACTCTCTACAACCAGAAATGTTTTTCCTACAGTAAATTTTCTGACACTTTACCCGGTCTATTTTAAATGTCCCAGAAAACAGTGTTTCAGCTATTTCTTTTGAGAAGCTATTTCACAGGTAATGTATTTCTCATTATTTTCCCTGAAACTTACCTTGTATCTCACTTTCTCTTACCATTGTTTTACTAACTACAATTCATCTTTAATGCAGCAATTAAATAATTTTCCTCTACACTTACTATAAAGTTACTGAAAGATGTAACACACCCTTAAAATATTTCGAGCTTGTTATAATGCCCATTCAGTCACTTTCCCAGCCAAGCTGAACATATTAAGTTAATTTCCTAAAAGCTACTTTTAAAACAGGTATGCAAAAGCCTATGTCAATTTATGACTGACAGCCAACTAAACAGTTTCAAAAAATATAAATATTTCACAGGATGTCTAACTTACATATTTTAGAGTATCATTACACTGCTTAATATACAAAACAAGATATATTTAAAAAAATAATCCCATAGATTTCAAATGTCTCACTTAAAACATAATACTAAATAAGAAATAAATTAAAACTTATTTTTATTTTGCTGCTATGTAAAAAACAGTCATTCTGTTTCGTTTATTCCATTTCATGGTTCATCAACTGAAAATCTCAAATCTCAATTATTTCCTTAAGATATACAGAAGTATGGAAATGTAACGTCGAGAACAAAAACTGCAGGAAGACAAGGCTGCTGAACAGAACAGTCACTGAAAGTTACTGAGAAGCAGCAAAACATATTCTGCTTCAAACCGCACATTCAGATCAGGGAAGGAAAAGTATTTCCTTCTCTGTACATTCAGTGCCTTCTGTATTTGCCTGTATCAAATTCCACTATTTACTAAAGGAATAATAAGAGCATTAGCATAGCTGTCATTTGATTGATGGAATTTTTTGTTTTGTACAAAAGCATACTCTTCATTCTGACATTTTTAGGAATTATTTCTAAACTGACTTCTCCATCAGTTATACAATGGCATTGTAAGCCGCATTTCTGAAACTAAACATTTTAGAAATGTGCTTATAATTTATGTTTTAAGACTTTTTTGTTGATGTTTCAAACAACAAAAACATATTTTCAGATTGAAAAGACAGTTATTCCCAGATACAGATAATGCAGACACAGATCACTCTGAGAAAGGAAATTTGCTGTTCCAGCATTACGTAATTAGAACTCTTGAACTAACAATTACTGACAAGACAATACCATACTGAAATTGTAGGCTGACTATAAAATAAATAAAGAAATAAATAAATGAATGCTTCATTATATTAGGTGAAAGTTTAGAAAAATTAATGTTCAGATTACACTCCCACAATATTTTTAAAATATCAAACCCCTTTTTCATAAAGATGATACAACTGTGATTACCAGAAAGCTGACTAACTAAGGGCATGAGAAAAGTGACCTGTGGTATATTACTCGATTCTAAAAATGCTTTGTCAGTATGCTTCAATTATGAAGCCTTTAGAGAGCTCTTCTATTTCCTGCTTTGGTGATATTATTATTTGTATTTGAAATACTGTCTTCTAAAAATTGAAATTCTATCTTACATAAAACTGGTTTCAAAAAATGTCAGAAATATTTTTAAAATAAAATAAAAAGTTTCAAAGAAAAATTATGCTCAGACATATATTATTTAAACAGAAATATTAGCACAATTCACTGCTCATTTTTGATATGGCTGTGCTAAGCAGTTCATTTCTGATCTTGACCTTGCTTCTGTAAAAGTCAGTTTTGACACTAGTTTAAACAAGAAAAGGATCCAGCCCTACTGGTACTTCACCAGAACTGAATTACCCTAGCATTCATTCAAGGAATGGAGACCACTAGAAGACTACAGTAGCAAACATAAAACTCCACAGTTTTACTAGAAGTGCAGGCTCCTTTCAATAGAGTATGTCAGGAGAGTATCAGTCTCATTTTTATTTGCTCTCTTTACAGATGTAGTTACTCATTACTTACCTTTTGCGAACTACTTGGCAGATAAATTTCACATGGAAAAAGAACAAAATTAACATGCCAGTATAAAAATCAAGTATAAAGATGTTAGTGAGCTAAGATGTTTTAAAAATTATTATTACTATAAAAGAACCATCCCAGCCTTCTCTGGAGGTTTGTGAATAAGCCTGTTATACAAATTAACATATTTTTATGTACCATATAAGGTTTATCTTTTTTTTCTTTTTCCCCCTCTTTCTTTTACTCTCAGGACTGGGAGAATAAGGATTTTAAAGTGGTAACAGTTTTTGGTAGAAAATATTTAGTACTTCTCCAAAATATAAAATTTTATAACTAAAAAATACCTTGCACTCCACAGAAAGAGATAATACCTTATAAAACGTTGAAGGAGGTGATCCTTTTGCTCCACGAACTTTCACTGCCCCACCATCAAAACCTATAGTGGTTAAGAATCAATATTTAAGCTTCTTCAATATAACTTTGAAGACATTTTTTTGTAATACATATTAATCAAATCCACTTAATTAAAAAGCAAATCATTGGTAGCTGTACTGCCATGAAAGAGAGAACCTTTCATGAAACAGTCCTCCCTGCCTTAGAAACACAAGCAGCAAATTGGTGACTAAATTTATGACTTCAATAAGCCTTTTATCAGAATGCTTAGCATGTTTATTCATGTACTTAAAAAATACTTAACACAGAAAGCAGCCTTAGGACTTCAGACCCAGTAGTTACTTTCCACTTAACAGCTAGTTATTGCACACACACACAGAGCATACAATTTACTGTAGTTGGCTGGAGTGGACTGCAGTCCACTTGGTAACAGAACAAAACAAGATGAGAAACCAGTGAGAAGACATTTGCTGGCAGCTTAGTAAGTGAAGGGATAACTTAACTTTAGCCTTCTTGTCAGTATCAGAAACAGAACAGTCTGAATGTATGTTCCAGGGCAACTACCACGTTCAGTATTAGGAATACTAATGCCAAAAAGAAACGAGATAAAATTGCTGTCATGGCATCAGGTTCAGGCTTGAACTGGAGAAAAATCAATAGATGCAACTCCTTGAAAATTAGTAGAGCACGATCAGCACCTCATGTCAGACAGAATTATACTGTAGTTCACCTGTACCTGACCTGTGCTTGCAAATATTTAGGAAGCCATTCAAAGCTTTACACAAATACTCTGAAGAGACCAAATCAGAACATATTTGAAAAAGTGAATGTGACCAGGAGAAATTTTACATGTCACTCAAGTAGCATCATCACTCTCTGCAAGACTGGCATAATGATAATTTAACTCTCCTAAAACAGAATGCTATCCCTACAGTCAGGGTGAAAATCTGGAAGTTTAATGTTCCAGGTGAAGTAGTAATACAGAGAAAAACCTGGAAAACAAAATGCAAAGCACCCATTGACAAAAAGAAAACAGAAGCACCTCTGAGTTCAAACACTAAGTAATTCAGTAGGACAATAAAATCAGAAATGTAAACAGCAAAAATAGATAGCTTGCCTGTTTTTACTGGTGTACGTGTCAAAGCACTTCAAACTAAAAATATTTAAGAAATCTGACCATTTTCCATCTGTTATATTTCTAAGAGGGCTAACTAAAAGTTCATGTGAAAGTTCATTTTAAGTTCAAACATGTCATATTGGGTCATTTGCAAGCTAAAAGTTCATAGGAAGGTTAGGGTTTTTTTTTTTTCTCCCCAAAGACTAGTGGCTAAGAGCAGCAAGCTAGCCCTATCAGACTGCTATTTGGTTATGTTGCATGAGCAGAAGATTCACTGTACAATTTTACAGTACTTTTATTATTGAAGCAAAGTATTTTTGATGCTACAGTGTTTTGAGTTTTATCACAGTAAATTTTTAATTTGGGATTGCAGTTGTTCTAAGTTTTATAAAGACACTCAGTGTACTGTCATAGGTAAGTTCCATTAGAATGAAAAAGGATATATCAGTACAGATGCAATAAAAAACAAACTTCAAATGACTGTAGCTAAACATTTTTTTCAAGCTGTCTTATCCAAACTACGTATCTTCAAATCTGTTAAGCCTGAGGGTTTTTTTGTTTGTTTTGCTTTTAAAACTAAATCCAGAACATACACTATATCCATCTTTAGTCTACTGGATGTTGAGAGTTTTGAAGACAGCAAATGGACTTTTTCGAACAAAGATTCTTTGGTGGAAATCCGCTAACCTAACCATGTTTCTACCACTCAAGATGACCCACCTAAATGTCTAAGAAAAACACCATTACTACATAGTGCTTTGAAAGACCCAGCTTTCCATTGTTCCTAATGTTTCAAATGCCGTGTGAGAAAACATGTACAAAACATGTTTTTGAGCAAAGAAACTGAGCTGCAGTTTAGAAAAAAAACCTGAAATCATAGTGGAGCTGACTCAGTGTTGCTCACACAGAACACATAGTTTAAGGACTTGGTAGGTACAAGGTGTGCATTAAAAACTAAAGCAATGATCAAAGACTGAAATTAGTCAGCCAGCACGATAAGTAAGAGTATGGTTAAAATTTCTAAAGGAATTTCTAGCAGAAGTCCTTGTAAAAAAAAAAAAAAAAAAAAAAAAATCAGCTTAATACAGTATCACCCTCAAAGGAACTGATTTAACAAGAAATATGCAGAGAAAACATGGAAATTAAAGTAACTGCTTTAGTTTGATAACCCAGATCACTGACACAGATCTCTTAACATGTAAGAGGACTAACCTGGAATTTCAGTGATGGAAACTCTGGAAAAGTCACATGTGACATCTGGTAAAAGATAGCACTGAGGATTGCCCAATTCATACACCAGCTGTTCAGCTACAGTGCCAAAAGAGATCAGTCCCCCTGTGTCTGGTGGTTTGGAAAGAATAAAGTCTCCTTCAGAGGAACATTCTACAATGGGAAAGCCTATGTTGTGCCTAGAATATGAAAAACATTGAAAAAACCCTATAAATACAAAGAGAAAGGGAAAAAAAAAAACTATTAACAATATACTAGAATTTTATGGTAAGGAGTGATTAAATAAAACTGATCAAAAACTGTAACATATCTGGTTGTTTCTGCAGAAACATACACACAAAAAAAAAAACACCGAACAAACTGCTCAACCAAAATAATACGAGGATGTATTTTATTGACTGGCAAAAGAGTGCAGATACAATAATTGATACCAACAGTAAACAGGTAGAAGTGGAACAGGGAATGGAGGACACTAACAGAAATGGTTAAAGTGAAAAGAGACCAAAAGAATTACAGGACTGCGATTAAAGTGGAAAATTCAGGAGAAAACCCATGATTGCTAATTCTAGCTTCGTTTAGCTACAGCAGTACACACAGCATGAAATTGAAGACATGTAAATACATCCTGCACTCTGGATTTGTAAAAGGCAAAGCAGGAAGAACAGACTGTGCTGGAAGCCTCAGAGATGAAGGGAAGTAAGAAACAGGAATAATCACACCCATTAAGGATAATTTCACATGTTAATAATAAATTATATGCAGAAAAGTTGTAATCAGAAAACAGAAAGATGTATTAAAATTATTATTGTTGTTCTGGACTGAAGATCTTAAAAGACAGAATGAACAGAAAACTATCAGGCATAGCAAAAAGAAAAGCAGTAAAACAGAAATTTATAGACATGTTGGTAAATGAAAATATTCCTCCTCTTCATATTCTCACAAGAGTAATATACAGAAAGTGACCAAAGAACTTATAGTAAGAGGCACATGCCAGTCATTACAGTAGCAGGGCAAAATTTTCAGGGTTATGTGAACGAGATCTAGGTATCTGCTTTCCCGGCTAAAAGGCTTTTATTTTTTTTACAGATAGTTTGTGCAAAAGTAAGGACTTAAAAAAACCATTTAAAAAAAGTAAAATGTCAGAAGTACCTAAAAATTAAACCAGAGCCTTAATACTCTTCTAAAAAGGCTACCTGGCTCACTCCTCTGTCATAGGAAGTTGGAAATTTGTGCAAGTGTCCCAGAGACATAGAAAGAACACAAAAAAAGGAGCTAAGGAGATACAGACCCTTGCAAAAGCAAAACTGTTCTAAAAAAGTCCCAATAAGGAAAGGTAGTGAACATTACCATTCTCATTTAAGTCAATGACCTTCAGGTCCTTCGTACATACTTAAAAATCAGCCCATTCCCAAAATTAGTAGGTTTTGGGTGCTAGTGGTAACAATGTGCTGAACACACAACCAAATTGGTTATCAGCAAAGGTTAGATGAACCTAGTTTGTGTAACAAATCCACAAAGTTTTGAAGGAAGTAAGCAAAGAAACCAGTGAACTCTTAAGTGACATTTGTAAAAGTTCATGGGAGTTTGAACAGATTCCTTATCATTGGGAAGCTTCAAACATAACCCCACTATTTAAAAAAAAGGATTAAGAGACGAGTTCTGTTACCAGAGATCAGCAACTTTAATACTGACAGTGTACAAAACCTGGGAAGTATGGTAGCTGGAAGACACCTAGAAAAGCCCACATGGAACCAGTAAAGATTATACTTCATTAAATCACTAAACAGATAAAGGGAAACAAATAAACCCCACGCTGGTGAATACAAAGATTTGCATGGAACCAACGATTTTTAAGACAAATTATTCTGGGGTTCTTGGGTTTTTTTGAGGGGAAGAAGAGAGAGAAAAAAGGGTGACATAAAAAAAAAAAAAAAACACCACCACAAAAACTGTTCTCAATTCTTGGTCTTGAACATCAACGCAGGGTAATAGACTAACATACGTATCCCAGTTCTACAGGTAAGGAGACAAATACAGGAAGCATCATGATTTGCACAGGTTATACAGCAGAATCAGTGACTGAACAAAGCTAGAATTAAGGAGCTGTTACCCTCTTGGTGCCATCCTCTGTGCTTTGACCCTACCATCTATCTGTCTTGTCTTAAGGCAGTGCACCAGGTGCCTTGCTAGAAGGCTCAACACAGCGTATTAAAATCACCTACCCAAAAGTGAAATCACTTCCATCAAGACAGAGTACCCGGTGCAGCCGATCCCACTGCAGTGACAACTGGTATTCTCACTGCTGCCCACTTTGATCAAAGTCATCAGCACATGCAACTCTTACAACACACTCCTGCACCTACTCCCCAGGGATCTTTGTTTTCAAGGAAGAAGAGGTAAACTGCAGACACGCAACCTTCTACTCTGAACTGAGTCTGCTAACACCAATTAAACTGCAGTTTGCCCAAGCTCCACTCTCAGAAGACCCAAACCATTAAGAAACAAAGACCAAAAATGAAATAGTGAGGCAAAGGGAGAAATTTCACCTCCTAAAATGGTTAAAATCTGGCAAATGCGTCAGCCATTCAAAGCAGACCAATCATGGAAGACAGCAGATAAACAGTATCAGTACAAACAGCACTATTATTCAGGTCACTTATTATGCACTAGGAAGGACAGACCGATTTTCCCATTATCTTGGGGCCATCAAAATCAGAGGACTTTTACGGTGGAATTCTTTATTGTGCCAGAGTAGCTGGCAAGAGGCCATATAGGTACAAAAGTACTTTTTGGAACAGTTTCTAAATAGCCTCAAAGGTTGAGACATATTTGCTATATAAATAGGACACTCAGCGCTCACCACTTACAAGCTTTGGGTCAACACTTTGCTGCAAGAAAAGTGCGTGAAGAAGACATTCTAACACCAAACAAAAAAAAAAAAAAAAAAAAAAAAAAAAAAAGCAAAGAAAAAAAAACAAACACCACCCCCACAACATCCCCCTAAAAAAACCCAAACGGGAAAACCAAGTCATCTTAGGAAAGGCATGCTGATACAATACACCAGCACGTCCTAGCATGATGAGAATTTTTAGCCATATTTAAACCATTCAGAAATCCACGAGCCTAAATGTTCATGAAAAGAACATTACCATCAGTGACTTACTCTTTGGTCATCTCTTTCACTGCTACTCTCTTTCAACAGTTAGTGAAGGTATCAAGGAAGACTTTTTGCCTTCTTCTGAGATAAGCATGAGGGATATTTCCTCCTCAAGGTACACCACCATTCAATGAACTTCCTTGAATACTCAGTTAGTTGCAGATGTGTATTCTTTCAGAGCTGATATAACCTGGGAGTTTTCCTCACTTTTTAACAATTTAGAACAGAGATGTAATGAATTGAGCAAGAAGCCCCTGGATTCCATCTGTATTGTAACTGGATAACTGGGAAAATACATACATCCTATACTACCTCACAGCAGATGCCAATAATAACCTATGTTAATATACGCATGTTTAAGAGAAAAATATATTTTGTATACGGTTAAAAGACATTACTTAAAACTAGTTTTCAGCTTGGAAATAAACTGGGCTAATTCACTGCTATGGTATGATTCAGTCAAGTGACAGCTACTTAAACCTGGCACGAGAGCTCCCTAGCAGCAATAGGTACCTGCATGGGGTATTCTAGTACTTACCACAGGTACCACGATCACACCATCACCCTGATCAGCACTTCCACTGCAAGAAATAACTCTTTGCCCTATTCACTAGTAAGTTTTGCTGAATGACTACACACCATATGACATTTGCTCTATAACATGCCAACTTTATGCTCACCTTAACCTACAGCCAAGTAGCAATTTTGTACAGTGTAGCAGGGAAGTTAAACCACAGAACTATGAAGATGAACATCAGCAGCAACTACTCATGGCATCCAAAGTGGCACAGTGGCCAAGTGGCACCCTTCAATAATAAAGAATTGCATCAATTTAGTGATAAAATCCCCTGGTAGAATGGGGCAGTATCAAGCAATGTAAACAATTCTGAAAGAAAATTACTAGAATTAATTCTAATTAAACTATATGATCATGTAATTGATAAAATACAATACTAAAGCAAAATATGAAAGTGCTACTTTTAAAACTTTTTGAGCAGTTCTTCTGCCACAGTTAAAATACAGGAGTAATATACATCAGCTTGTGAAAGGAGATGACAACTACCTTTTTTTAAATCCAAATGTCTGGTTTGGATTGTGTGTTTGGTATTTAACAACTAAATAAATTATATGCATTAGTAAACCAGAGTACTGACTAAATCCAAGCTAAGATTAAACCTCAGCAACCCCTTTCCAAGGTGGGGTTGGGTGAGGAGTTAACAGTTAAAGCAGGTCTTCACTGACTAAAGCACAGGGATAATGAATTTCCAAAACCATTTTTGCTGCTGAAGCCACCTTCTCATCAACCACCGGCAGCTGCCGTCCTACTCTTAATAGGAATCAGGGCTCTGCAATTAAGTATCCTGTCAGTTCTCTGCCTGCCAACAACTTACTCTTGGATTAATTTTTTCCATGTAAAATGCTGGGTTTTCTTCAGTTTTGGCTCTCAGAATTGTTACAGTTTATGGGCATGTCACAGATGATAACATGCAAAGCATAGATCTCTCTGTCTACTCTGGGAAAATGCACTATTCAACCTCTGTGTAGCTATGGAGATAGCTTTCCCTCTTGTTTTGCCATATATTTTACACCATTTGCATTACAAAGTAAAATCCATGATCAGTTCTGTTTGGCTCAGGGAGAAAGACATTGAGATAAAATGGGTAATTCTTCCCTCGTAAGGTGCCAAATCCCTCAAGTATCTCATTCTGGCCACTACTGGTAGACTGAGGAGATTATTGGCAACAAAAGATGGGACAGCTAGTGCAGCACATTTATTTGCAGGGGAAGATGCTGCAAGAGAGAAAACAAAAAACAAAAAAGCCACAGCAAATCAGGTGACATGGAAGTGAACCAGGGTTCAAGTAGGCTACGTTATGAAATTTTAGCTTTATAGCAAATGCAGTCTCTTGTGATGTGACTTGATGAATGACATACTGAGGAGAGATCCAAGTCAAACTTCTCAGCTCCCCTGGGCATGTATTTTAACTGCAATGCTATTAGGCAAAAAGTAGAAACTGCTAC